TGAACTGTAATAAGCTGAACTACTGGGGAAAAAACTTTTTCAGAAAAAAATAAAGAAGAAAGTGACAAACTAGAGAGGGTACGCCTAAGTAGGTCAGCACTGAGTTTGGGGAAATAAATTTAAGAAGGGCAGTGAGGTAAGATGGGGCACTGACTTTAGCTTCTTCAGTTAGGCCTGGGCCCCTTTTCATTAAATGACTTCTGGGGTCATCGAGGAGGTAAGGAGCTCAGGTCATTCCTTTAGTCCACAAACAACCATCCTGTATTTACTTACATTAGGATGCTGTCCCCTACTTTTGTTCCTCTCAGCCTTGAAAAGCTAGTACAATTTCAAATGAATATGAATAGTGGGTGACAACATTTTCAAGAAAAATTTCATGTCCTTTACAAAATTTGAAGACAATTTTAGAAGGTCAGAAGCATCATGGGACTGCTATGCAACTTCATGCCATAAATTGGTTTGCTGCCAGTTGTGCAGATCATCATACTAAAAATAAATTTCTGCTACTTAGCTTTCCCTAAAGATATCATAGTGAAATCCACTGTCACAGTTGCATTAACTTCCAAATAAACCTAATATAATAGTTAAGAAACACTGTATTTTCATTTAAAATATTTCCTGTCATACAGGGGTCCCCACACCCTCATTCATTTTCCCTTTTCTGTGTGTTTCCTTCCTAGATCATAATGGGAGTGATTCTGCTGTATAATTTACTTGGATCAAGTGCATTGGTTGGTGCAGCTGTCATAGTGCTGCTTGCGCCAATTCAGTACTTCATTGCTACAAAGTTGGCAGAGGCTCAGAAGAGCACTCTCGTAAGTAACATCTTTTGAAAACTCTGTTAGGAAAATCTAGTAATGGTGTTTTATTTTTAAAATGTAGGAAATGAATACATACCACTCAGGATTATTTGGAAATCATTATATCTCATTTCAATTCTTAGGCAGTTAATATGTATTTTCTGTATTGCAAAACCATTTTTAAAAGTGGATTTGCAATCTAAGACCTGAGGATCTTAGACTCAAAATACCAGAATCACAGTTTCTGATGTTTTTAAGTGTAATGAGGCGGTGAGTCTTTCGATCTCCTTCTAGATCACTTGCCTAGAGAATACACTCAAGTATACTTTGAGGTCATTGGATGTCAATTATTGACATGGGAGGCATAGATCAAGGAACAAATAAAGGGTCAGGTTTGATGCTTCTGAAATTCAGTTTCCATAGGGTTGAATCAAAACACATGATGATCTGTGGAGTTACACTGAAATGTTTTAGTGGCAGTTGTTCTGGCTGAGTATGTTCATGGTGAACTTGGCAAGTAAGAATGTTGACCCTTTCTGGCTTCGATTTGCCATGAAAATATTTTATTTGAGCAAGAATCGGCCTCTTTGAAAGAAATATTTACAAATAATAAAATTGTTGACAGCATGTTTAGAAACAAAGTTTGATTAAATAAGAGCCAGGCTGGCTGTCAATCAAGCATAAAAGGTAAGGATGCCGCCACTGATGGAGTTGTTTCCCAAGTTGGTGTTTCTACTGTGACAAACAAGTTGCATGTTGCACAAGTGCTTTTTATCATTTGTTTTCCTGCTGCTTCTGGTAAGGTTACTCGTTAATTTTTGTCTGAGCTTTCTACCCTCTTTACTCCAGGACACGAATAGAGAAAGATGTGAAAGAAGGCACAAAAGTGGAGACATGACTATACCCAAACATCTTTCACTTAGCCTTTCATACTGTATTTATTCACTCACTCCCAGTCATTTGCTAGGCATCTAAAACCCTGAAGAGATAAAAATATGAATTTAAAAAAAACCCCACACTATTTGCTACTTTTGCTTCCTCGTGGCTGCCTGTTGCCACTCTACAGCTCCTTTGATAGTTCACAGGTCATAAGGTGACTTATTAGTCAGTCTAAGTTAATATTTGGTAGAGAGGAAGCTGAAACAGTTGACTAAATTGTGGCGTTTGTATCTGCTACAAGTCTCTCTACAGTTAATCCAAGTTGTTAGTGATCAGTATATCTAACTTAGGCCTTAGGTCAGAGCTTATGAAGAAGCATGTGGAACTCTCTTGAAGTTAAAGATAATAGACTTGGTTTCAATAACTGTATTATGAAGACACAATGTGAACATACACAACACTGTACCTTCAACATTCCCAGATAAAAACTAACTTTTCTTAAATTTGTTGTTTCTTTTCTAAGTATGAGTGAGGGTGCTGAGAGGAGAATAAAAGATTTAGACATTAGAAGGAAGCCATTAGAAGTCTCTTTATCTCTCCCCTAAATTTATGTGTATATTATTTGTAGATATTCAAGGAAATCATGTCAAACTTATGAAACTGCTTTTATTTAAACCAAAGCAACAGAGATATAAAAGTTTTTAAGTGGAAAGAAATTTGAAGTCATCTCATTGAACTCTTCATTTTAAACTTCGAGAATGAAGAACCTACAGTTATCTTATAGACATTATTAGTGGCAGAGCCAGGCAGAAATCAGATCTCCTCTATGTCTGTCCATTACATGGCCCTGCCACTCGGATTCACTTGGATGCAGCTGGCATTGTTTTTTATTCATTTGTTTCATAGGATTATTCCACTGAAAGACTGAAGAAAACCAATGAAATACTGAAAGGCATCAAACTTCTAAAGCTGTATGCCTGGGAGCACATCTTCTGCAAAAGTGTGGAAGAAACAAGAATGAAAGAACTATCCAGTCTCAAAACCTTTGCCCTTTATACATCACTCTCCAGTAAGTAGCTGTTGCTGTAAGGACCACCCCAAAACACGTGGTCTTTTTAGTTAGATGGTGATCATTGAGGCATTCTAGTAATCAGAGGAAGCCTGTTTATTTTTTACGTACGTGCTGTCCAATAGCTACTGGTCACATGAGACCATTTAAATTAAAGAGTAGAGTTAGCACAGACTTAAGAGTCAAAGAATTTGATTCCTTGCAAGTTGTGCCTTTGCCATGTTACTTTATATCTGAAACCCTGAGTTTCTTCATCTGTAAAATGGCATTGGTGTCGGTTACAATTGGGATAGATAGTGAGTTTTCAATAAAATTTGGGGATATAAATTCATTTGACTGTATTTACTATTGATCTGCTTATTGCCAGAGAGCCTTAAAACTTAACTGAAGTTGTGTTGCCTGTCTTTTTGAAGCTTATGATATTATATTTTCTTGAAGATTATGCTCAAAATGCAAATTTTTTTTAAATCGAGGAGAAAAAATATGTCAGCATTTCCAGGTGAAAGAAGCCAAACTACATTTACATAAAACCTTTTTCAGTACATTTTTAAGAACTTTTAAATACAGAGTATTTTTATCCTCAACTCTAATTTTTGAAAAGGAATTGTTATAAAAATCTTGCTTTTTTTTAAATCAGAGTGACACTGAGTACTCTCAAAAATAATGAGTTTACGTTAGTACAATTCTTATGAACTTAGTCAAAGTACTCCCACTAATACTTGATCTGGTTTGTCTGTCAGTTTTGCTTATCTCTATTGTTCTCAAGCCCTTTAACAACTTAAAGTTTTGGAGGTTTATATATTGTTTCCTCTTGAATTCTAAACTACGTTAGTTTTTAGAGATTATAAACACTTCTATTGTGAAATGGATTAAGAGAAAATACTTGGTTTATATAGCTCATTTATCCTAGCCCTAATGCTTTAAAATTGAAATGAGAAGATTTGTCTTCCAGCTGTGTACCACTGCCAATATGGTGTCAAAAATGCTAGAAGATAGAATGATTGATTATGCACTTACATATATAATAGTGCTCTAAGCTGGTGGCTACCACAATACATTCCTCTCTTCAGTATACTGAAATTCTCATAGGGATGATGGATGCAGCCAAAAATAATAATCATGATGATATTACTACTACTATTACTACTACTAACAACAACAATATACTGAGCTATTCAACTAATGATTGCCATACATGGCTTTACAAATATCATCTCATTTAAACCTCACAATACCCCAATGATTTAGATGGTATTATTAAATCCATTTGAGAAATCTAAAGATTGAGTTGGAGACAGCTTAAGTAACTTGAACTTCCCTTAAATGATCCAGCTACTAAATAGTGGAGGTGGGTCGTTAACCCAGTTGGTCTCCACACATGAGATTTGGAATGGTTTTTGAAAGTCAGGTACAAAAGCAGAGAGGACAGAAGAGGTCATACTAGAGGAGAAAAATAAGAAGTCGTGAAGGCAAAAATGCATCATCATGTATTTATGATAGGCAGCAGGAATCCCTGAGTCAGTGGTGGAAAGGACCAGCTAGACCACTTGCATGTTTTTATGATTTGCTCAAGTACAGTGTTCTTGGTGGTTAAGAGCTTGAACTAAGCCACGTCTGGACCCACAAAAGCACAGCTGATTCTGTGTACAGTGGTAGGATAGTTCCAGGCAGTGGATCATGGGAGCTGAAGATGATTTTTAGGTAGACTCTCTCCTAAGTGTCATGGAAACTAGGTTCTAGTTCTCACTTTGCCACTGCCTGGCTGTTACCAACACTTCATTTAATCTTTTGGTTCTCAGTCCCCCAAATTCTGTGGTTTATGAAAAATATAATTATAAATCATCAACTTGGTTTTTCATTTTTACTATGATTTCCAAATGCTAGTATTTTAGTCTAAAATATGAGTTTTTCTTGTTTCAGTTATGCATATCATGCTTATCAAATGATAGTGCGATATATTCTTGGAGAGATAATTAAATTAGCAGAGGGTCCAAGATATGAAGTTATTTTATTAAGCAAAAGGTCTGTGAATGAAAATTAATATCAATGCTGGGGGAGAACTTGAAGTGATGTCAATTTCTTGTTTTTAAATTTGTGTAGTAACCCAATTTTCATATATTTATGTTAGTTTAGTAGACCAAACAAAATATAGAGTGGAAATACTCTCAAGAATGCACATTTGTTAAATTCTATTAATTTGCATCATTAAAGGATTATTTTATCAGAATTTTGCTGTTTGTAACATTTCACAAAACATAATTTTTTAATAAGGAAAAAAACATTTTCTGATTAAGGCTAATGTGTGGGAGGTCATACAACTGCGAACAAGAAAATACTAACTGGGAAATGTTTGTGGACTCCAGATAAGATGTTATTTAATGCACTTGGTCCTTCCTGTCTTCAAGAAAAGTTAAAGTAATAATAGATGATTAATTAAAGTTACTGAAAATGTTTCACAGTTCACTGAAACTAATGTATTTGATTTCTTTCCACAGTCTTCATGAATGCAGCAATTCCCATAGCAGCTGTTCTTGCTGTAAGAAATCTCTTCTTCCTTTTAGACGTAGAACTAAGTCAGTGTTTAGTAATGATTTATGAACCAGAATGTGTGAATGGTAATAAGTATTACCCCACCTCTGCCAGTTTTCTTTTTTCAGTTTCCATTGAAATAATTCTAATCCAGTGTTTCTCAACCATGGCACTATGGACATTTTGGCTGAGATAATTCTTTGTTGAAGGGCCTGTCCTGGACGTTAGGATGTTTAGCAACATCCCTGCCTTCTACCTGTAAGATGCCATTAGCATGACCCATCAATCATGACAATAAAAAATACCCCTAGACATTGCCAAATGTGCCCTGGGATCAAATTTAACAGTAGTTGAAAACTAAGTGTTCTAATCTCCATGACCTGTTTCTGGACATTCTTACAAAGGATAGTGCTAGTTCCACAACCAGAAAATGTTAAATAATTTCAGTATATTTCAAGCTTAAATTAAAAACCCAAGAGCTAGTATAATGTTTAGAAATTTAAATGTCTGCATTGGACACCAATGTTGGCAGTAAAGGTCAACCTAAAAACAATGGGATGTTCTCTTTTTCTCTTAGAAAATTTAGTATTGGTTGGAAAGAGCCTGGTGGGTTGTTGCTAACTCTGGATTGACCTCACTGTTACTCCCCACACTCAGTTATTCAACAGAAGTCAGTTTTCTAATCTGCAGATAGAATCTGTTTTGACTTTCTCACAGGTTTATTGCTAGAATGAATATAAACCATTAAGCATTCTACCGAAACAGCAAGTATTATATTTCTTAGGGAGTAATTTGGATGAAGTAATTATTTTTATAGTTGCAATGTACATATTGGCAGAGCAGAGTCTATTTGGTTTGTAAAAGTGAATGTAAATGTTTGTGAAACTTTCTCCACCTTTCTCTAAAGAAACACTTTCTTTGCACAGACGTTTGTGACCCATGCCTATGCCAGTGGGAACAGTCTAAAACCTGCAGAGGCCTTTGCTTCGCTGTCTCTTTTTCATATCCTGGTCACTCCACTGTTCCTGCTCTCCACAGTGGTTAGATTTGCAGTCAAAGCCATTATAAGGTATGAACTGGAGTGTCTGGAATTCTTTGCTTGATGATAGAAATAACATATGCTCATGGTAGTAAATTTGAAAAAGTATAAAAAGCACATTAAAATCACTATTCACAAGATGGGTATATATGCACAATGGAATACCATTCTGCCATAAGAAAAAATGAAATAGTGCCGTTTATGACAACAACATGGATTGATTTTGAGATTATTATGCTAAGCGAACTAAGACAGACAGAAAAAGTCGAGAACCATATGATTTCACTGATATGTGGGATATAAAACTGAAAGCAACAAGGAACAAGACAAAAAAAAATAAACAAAAACTCATAGACGTAAACAATAGTTTAGTGGTTACCAGAGGGTAAGGAGGGGAGGAGGAGGTGGTAGATGAGGGTAAATGGGATCAAATAAATGGTGATGGAAGGAGAACTGACTCTGGCTGGTGAACACACAATGTGATATAGATGATGTATTACCGAATTGTACACTTGAAACCTATGTAACTTTACTAATTAACTTTACTAATCATTATCACCCCAGTAAACTTTAATTAAAAAAATCACTATACAGAGATAACCATTGTTAAAATTTTGGTATGCTACCTTTCAGTGTTTCACTTATTTCATATAAAAACAGTTATTCTAAAATAAACATTTTGAATTTATATAGATTTTAACTCTGTGTTTCACTTATTGTTTTTATTATTTCTCCCTTCATTAAGATCATAGTACATTATGTTTACTGGCTATGTGATTTTTCATTGTTTGGAAGTATTATAATTTATTTAATGATTACCTGTTTATTGGACATTTAGAATGTTTTTATTTTTTCCCTAACACAAATAATATAAATAACACTGAGATAAACATCTTTGTTTGTCTTTAAACTTTTCTCTGATTATTGTCTTACATCAGATTTCTAGAAGTGGGAATCCTAGTTTTAACACATGTACATTTTTAAGGTCCTTGATGAATATGAGTATGTTGTTTTCCACTGGAGAGGTAGGTCAAAAGGTGCACACGTTTTTCAGATTTTAAAAATAAATATGGCCATATTGTTTTCCATTGAAGCTGGACTAGTTGATATTTTCACCAACAATGGAAAGAATGTTCACATTAACATATCACATCATAATCTCACCCCTCCACCCCCCCAAAAAAAATTCCAGGCTCACAGTCTCTGCAAGTGGAAGACTTGATAAAACCACTCAGTATTTTGTTCATTTTAAATATGCTTCTACGGTATTTCTAACCAGTGTAGATTTTGTCTCAGACTCACAGTTTCCCACAATGCAAAACTATAAAAATAGATGTGATATGATAATGACCATTTTCCCACCATTTTTGCTTGTATTATATATTATGTTAGCAAACTATATTATTATTATTATTAATTCATTTTTTAATTAAAGTTTATTGGGGTGGCAATGTTAGTAAAGTTACATAGGTTTTAGGTATACAATTCTGTAATACATCATGACATGATGCTATATATAGAAAACCCTGAAGACTCTACCAAAAAGCTATTAGAAACAATTAAGGAATACAGTAAAGTTGCTGGCTACAAAATCAATGTACAAAAGTCTATTGCATTCCTATATAGTAATAATGAAACCTCAGAAAAAGAAATTAAAAAAAATTCCTTTTGCAATTTCAACAAAAAGAATAAAATACCTCGGAATAAAATTAACCAAGGATGTGAAAGACCTATGCACTGAAAACTATAAGACATTTTTAAAAGAAAATGAAGAAGACACAAAAAAAATGGAAAGACATTCCATGTTCATGGATTGGAAGAATCAACATAGTAAAAATGGTCACATTACCCAAAGCAATATAGAGATTTAATGCAGTCCCCATCAAAATGGCATTTTTTAAAGAAATAGAACAAAAATCATCAGATTTGTATGGAACCACAAAAGACCCCAAATAGCCAGAGCAATCCTAAGAAAAAAAGAACAATGCTGGAGGTATCACACTCCCTGACTTCAGCTTGTACTACAGAGCAACAATAATCAAAACAGCATGGTATTGGCAGAAAAACCGACCACAGACCTATGGAATAGAGTCGAGAACTCAGAAACAAACCCATGTAAATAAGACAGATAATTTTCGACAAAGAAACCAAAAACATACAATGGAGAAAAGACAGCCTCTTCAATAAATGGTGCTTGGAGAATTGGAAAGCCACGTGCAAAAAAATGAAGCTAGACTGCTCTCTGTCACCGTGTACCAAAATTAATGCACACTATATTATCATTACACTGTGTATGCCATAATCCACCATGTATAAGTATATTAAACAAGGCAGTCTTAAAATAGTATTTTGCATTTTGCTATAAGAACTTATAAACTTTATAAAACATAGCATGTTTCATAAACAATCATCATATTTATATCTGGCCTTTGAAAGAAATGCCAAGATGTTGCAATACTAATGGAAAATTGAAAAAATTGAGGTCTTAATTATACAAAGCATGGTGTTATTATTGATAGCAATGTAGAACATCTCTTGTAAGGTCTTTTAAAATAAGATAATTTTCCCAATGTCTCTGAATTACTAAGAAAACTAGTATTTAATATTCAAAATGTCATCTTCAGTTTTAAGCAATAGTTTATATTGGCTTAAAAATGGCTTAATACAAAATAACATTAAAGTGCATAAACATTATCTTATTATAATACAAGTTCTGATTGGTTATAATAGTATCATAACATGATTTCAATTCTATTCTAGAAGATATGCCATTAATAACCAATTCTGGAGCTGTTAGAGTTTAAAGCTCAGGTCCTCTGGCCTCATCTGCCCTCGTTTTCTTTTCTTATTGTCCTGCCTTCCGAGGCACTTGTACAGATCACTGACTGATTTTTGTAGCACCGCTTCCAAATTAGGCAGTGCTCTGGAAGGGAAGCTACTTCAAACAATAAACTTGATAAATGGCCAGAGTCTGCTATTTTGGTCCTTATTTTCATTTTCTCCATTTAATAGCTGTCCCTCTCATGATTGCATTTTTAATTGGAATTTGACTGTGCTACAAGTGGAGATGGAAAGGAGTTGATAACTTATACCAGATAAGTTCTCTGAATCAGAAGGTTCCCAAGCACCAAAAGGATGTTAAGAGTTGATATGAAAAACAAAAAACACAAACATCGAGGAGTGTCCCCAAGTTCCTAGTATACAGCCCTGCTGTAGAAAATCCTAGTGAAGTTGAGGGTGGATCATATTCACTGTACGTTTCTGCATAGCACTCTGTCTCCTGTACGTCCCAGAGAAAAGGCATTTGCCAGTTTGATGAAGACCAGTGTGTTTTCAGGGCTCAGCTCCAGATTTCTCAAGCTGTAGGCCAAGTGGAATCAGCTTACAAAACGTTCTTCTCTAAAATGAGCGTCAGTGGTTGATTTGTGGGTCCTACAGAGATAAGCGGTCAACAGTGGAGGCCAGTGCTGTTCCCCACTGTGTGCTGGTTCTAGGAACCCAAATGAGTGTTTTCCCAGTGTCGACTGGGCTTGACATTTCCTCCATGCCTGGGAACCCATGACCAGTCTTTGATGCCAGTTGGCCCCCAGCGAGTGGAGCAGCCTGTTTATAATCGGAGACTTGGGTCAGCTTTTTTTGAAACCTCCTCTTCAGGACTGTGGAAGCCCTAAGTGCTTCACTGCATCCTTAAATGCGTTCAGAAATTTGGTGGGTTAGAATGGGGTGCAGCATATTCCCAAACTTGCGTTATCCATGTGTGTAAGAGACTTGTACTTGGAAACACCTCTACTGTAGGAAATTCCCATGCTATGTAAAAGTCTTTGCTATGAGAAGCTCTATGTTTTTGTTTATAAACGTTTAGTTTGTTAGATGAAATTGTCTTTGTGGTGCTCAATGGATGGCACCCCATGTATACATAACAATTTGGAAGAAAGGGGCAGTTACAATTCAGGTTACCTCCTCGCATCCCCATCACCCAACACCATTTGAGTTTTCTGGACATTTTATGATGATGTGTTCCAGTCTATGTTTGCAAAACAGACTGAGAAATGAAGAAAAGTAAGAAAAGTCACTGTTATCTAAAAACAAAAAGCAGATCCATGAAAACAGACTGGTCTTTATCAAAGTGGCAAATGCATTTTCCCCGGGACATAAGGAAGAGCGTGTGCTACACAAAACTATCCAGGGAATATTATCCATCCTCAAATTTGCTTTTCTGAAGGAGAATGTAAGTTGATATGTTATATCCTTTATAAATCATTTGAATTCAGACTTCTGGTATTTGATATATAATGCAATATCTAGGTCCAAAGATATTATTTACCAAGGGAAAAATGTGTAAAATGGATGCCCTGCTTTGAGGGAAAATGACGTTGGGTCCTTTCTCTCATGTACCTCCCAAAGGAATGTACGCTTGGCTAGTCCACCACGGTTACTTTCGATCAAATAAATTGTTACTGATATTTATCATAGAGCAGGTATGCACTTGGACCTGCTCCTTGTTTACAAAAATTTCATAGTTCCTACAGGAAAAACATGTAACTGCTAGTAGCAACAAAAAGTTTTTCCCAGTTAACGTAACACCTGTCCAGTGTACTCACGCTGGGCCTAACCACCCAAAGTGAAACTTGAAAAGGGAGAAAACAACAAGTGTAATTAAATCTTCAAATATGTTTGTGAATTATCTTAGCATATGAGAAATTGGTAAAATAATTACTTACAAAGGTAGTGGAGAAAAATAGCAAATTGGTTGGTATCAAATATACCTGCTTTCAAATCCTGGCACTGCTATGGAATACTCATTGTTCAACCTCAAGCACATTATTTAGTATCTCTATAATCCAACTTCCTCAGTTATCAAATGGGCATAATGAAAGCTCCTGATTATGGCAGTGGAGAGAATTAGATGAGATAATACATGAAAAGTGCCCAGCACTTTCATTTTAGGTATTTAAATATTTTAGCTATTAAAACAAATCTCTATTTTACTATCTCCATTCCATACTTCAGAGAGATATCTTCTGAATGTGTCTACATGCATCTATTAACACTTTAGGTACAATTCAAAGTGTAAAGGATTGCAAAGATAAAACGTAGAGTGAAATCTGCAGGGCGTCCATAGGCTAGTTGGAGAGACCAGGAAGGGAAATGGATGACAATATGGTGTGTTGTGCTGTTATAGAGCCCTACGCAGAATGCCATGGCCCATCTATGAGGATCACTGAAGCTCATCAAGATACAAGGCAGACAGTCTGGTCAGTGAAGGTTTAAAAGAGGTGGTGGATTCTTCATAGGAGCTTAAAGAATTAGTAGGACTTGGCTATTTGAGGAAAAAGAGAAAACATGTTCTATGTGAGGGAGCAACAGATGCAAAGGGGAAGGGTGAGTAAGTGGGTGAGAGATCTTGGTACATTCAGGGGGCTAAAAGTGGAGTCGAAGGAAGGCTCTGATGTGGAAGGAGTCGGGATGAAGCTGGAGAGTAAAATCCTGATTAGTTTGTATATGATGCTAAGGATGCTGAAAGGAAAGGGGTGCCATTTGTTTTTTTAAAGAGAAAATTGATATAGGAACAGATTTGGATTTGCACCTGGCAGCAAGGTGGAAATTACTTCACCCTTGGTCAGGATACATGCGTTTTCCCTAATTGTTGTGCCTCTGATTTCTGAAAGGACCTCATATGTACAGGAAATGTTTTTTTGTCTTACCATTTATTCATTCACCAGACAGTTCTTGAGGAATTGCTATGTTATGGTTTTGGCATTGGGCTAGATTCTGAAGTTGAAAATCTTTGCTCTTAAGGAGTTCATAGTCTAGTGGCAGAGATAAACGTAACAAAACAATGACAAAAATGCAGTGTAAGGGACCCTCAGCCAGGGAGCCTAGAATGATGGGGACAAGGGAGGGGAAAGGTTCAGAGGAGGGTTAGTAGTGGGGGTCCTTCGATGTTCACTGTAATTGGAGATCCAAAGTGGGATGTCATAAAGAGGAATGAAAGTTCTCCCCATGTCCCAGTTATGCTCAGAGACCATTGTTTCTAAAATGTGCAGCAAGATTGGGACTCATTAATTTCATAAAAACTTCAGTAAGATTTGTGTGTGCACTAGAAAAGTGAAACGAAAAATTGAATCAACCAACTTTACTTAAATGCGTGAATCATTGGTTTATTCCTTCTTTGATTCATTCAACATTCATTGAGTAATGTGTGCCCGGAGCTGCTAGACTCAGAGTTACGAACGCAAATGAGCCTGGCCCTGTCCTTCCCTTTGTGTGCAAAGACATGATGTGAGATTGTTTAAAAGGTATTCCTTTGATTGACAAACCTATGCTTTTTAAAAATCGAATCTTTCCCAAACATAAGAACAGAATGACAATTAAAAATCCTTAAAAGAAGGCCTTATACTACTATGTTTAAGGTAGATCTTAAAAGTTCTCATCAGAAGAAAAAGAAGTTTTGTAGTTATGTCTGGTGGTGGGTGTTAACTAGATTTGTGTAATCATTTTGCAATATATACAAATATTGAATCATTATGTTGTATACCTGAAACTAATATAATGTTACATGTCAATTATACCTCAGTAAAAAAGAAGAAGGAATAACTACCATTTTATTATGAATAAAATGCCATTTCATAAGGTGTTTCTAATACTGTCTTTTAAGTCTGTGTAGTTATGTTCTGCTGACAAAGACTCAGAGAGTACACAAACTGAAGCTCTTCTTTTTCTTTTTTTGGATGTGAAATTCTTTTTAAATGTAATCTTGAGGCTAATAGATTGCCCCAATGAATTTTGCCTACCTTTATATAAAAGGAAGCAGTTTCTATGGCATGCAAGGAGAAAAGGCTTAAAGTTCATAGGCAGCAGACTGAATTAGATTTGCTTTTCATTTTAGCATCCTAGCATGCTAAAAGGAGCATTTCTTTTCTTTTGCAACTTCACAGAATCTTCTTTCTTATTTAATTTATTATTATTATTGGGTTTTTTT